TGGCGCGCTCTCAAAGTTCGTTTATTCCACCACCACCGCCGCCGCCGCCAGTAGCGGCGGTGGAAGCAGCAGAACAACACGGAGCTCTGCGAGAATATTATCTGCGTCAGCGAGCTCTAGGGCGGCCACCGCAACGCCCAATCCCGCCAACCCCCCCAAAACCGCGGCCGCCAGTACTAGCACCGCCGCCCCAAAACCCAACAACAAGGACAAAGCCGAGGACGCCGCCAGCACCAAAGAGAAGAACAACAACAACAAGAAGAAGAAGAAGCGGCGCACGCCCTCCGTCTACGCCCCGCCCTCCACCTACGCGCACCTGCCGCCCATCCCGGACGCCCTCGCGCCCAACCTGCTCGTGCTCTTCATCGGCATCAACCCCGGGCTGACGTCGGCCGCGACGGGCCACGCCTTTGCCGCGCCCTCGAACCTGTTCTACAAGCTGCTGCACAGCTCCGGGTGCACGCCTGACCGGCGGGTGGCGGCGCGCGAGGACCAGGAGCTGCCGCGCCGGTATGCGCTGGGGCACACGAACCTTGTTGGGCGGCCGTCGCGCGACGCGGGTGAGCTGTCGCGCGCCGAGATGGCGGCGGGCGTGGCGCGGCTGCGGGAAAAGGTGCGGAGGTGGGCGCCAGAGGCGGTGTGTTTTGTGGGTAAGGTTGTGTGGGAGACGGTGGTGCGGGAGGGGACGGGGAGGGGCGTGGGGAAGGGGTGGGGGTGGGGGTGGCAGGAGGGGGCCGCGGCGGAGGGGTGGGGGGCTGGGGGGAGGGTGTTTGTGGTGCCGAGTACGAGTGGGCTGGTGGCGGGGTATAGCTGGGAGTTTAAGAGGGAGCTGTGGACGGTGCTGGGGGACTGGGTGCAGGAGAGGAGGAGGGCGAGAGGGGAGGAGGAGGGGGCGGCACTGAAGCCCGAGGAGGGGGAGGAGGAGGAGTAGGGTCGAGGGGGTTGGCTGGTTTTGCAGTATTTGGCTGGAAAAGATATATATATCTAGACCTGTAGAGTACATACATGCCGCTAGGTGCCACTGTAGAAATGATGTCTGTAGACCTTCGTGTGCAGCCAAAAATGATATGTGCATACATCATACATATACATATACCCACTCTAGCCCACGTATAAATAAACACACACACACAACGATAGGTATTATCCCCCGTATAGATGCTCTAGCGGGCCGGAACGGGGCCGTGTGGTCATGGTTTCTCGTGATCTTTTGTCGGCCCCCTTGGTGGTGGTAGGTAGCTCTTTGTTTTGCCCGTGGAATCTTCTAGCTCAATTGAAGCCAATCTCTGCTTTCGTGAGTTGCATGTATGCATGTCCGGGTGTTGATGTATTTTATGTTACGGTACCTGGCCACCCTCCCACCCCCACCCCCCCCCCCCCCCACCCCCCCATCACCCCCTTAGTAGAGCCATATACAAAAGATGAGTCGCCCAACTACATGCAGTCGTGGAGGAGGTGTGTGTGTGCATGTCAGTACTATGCGCAGCATGTAGATTTTAGAATGGCGTGGCTCGCCGTCACTTGAAATAAATTAGACATGTATATACCATACGCACTTACCTCAGTCCCATTGCTGATTGGACGTACGTGACAGCGCTCCTTCCTTTGTCATTTATATTTAGATCAGATAAGATTCTCGGCACAGGTATGTAGGTACACGCGGCCTACGTCTAGACACGCGTGCGCTTACCATCCTCCCCAGCACGCAGTCCTTCAAGCATTGTTTGTATAGGGGTATATGTCTCCGGTTTAGGAAACTAATGGCGACAGCGGATACCGGGTTCGAATCCCGCTTAGATCCTCTATACAAACAATTTTTTTTTCTTGATGGGCGAGGCAGCGCACGCAGTTCACCTATTCTATCTATCGCCAGTGTATGATGAGGTCGAGCTGGTGGCTTATTGATTGACTCGCCTTCCGGACTGAGCCTACAACATCCAGGAGGTGCCTTCTTACCCGCTGAGGTTGAGTCCGGGCTTGAGGCGCCCCATTCCCAGTGACTGTTGGGGTGTGTGGGATAGTATACTGCCAACAGACTTTGATGCCCCAACACCCCCCTCCCTACCTGCAACACGCACACCGCACCGCGCCACATGCAGGCCAGGGTGCACAACCCGGGCCGAACGACTGGCGGGACCAGCAACCAGGCACCGGAGACAGCCCAGCGACACCACCCAGCGCAGATTCGGGGCCACGCTGCACACCGTCTCACTCGCACCCAGGGTTAGGGTTACACCACGAGTGATCTCGTCAGACGACAGTGTCACAACACCCGCCGGCCCGGTCAGATCGGTCACAGGGGCAGGCAGACTCGACATGGTGCATGTGCATATGGAGCGAGTGAGAGAGAGAGAGTGAGAGAGATCGACCCCGCATATATATATTGCGGATGCGAGATTTATCCCCGCACAGGAAAACCCATCGTTCAAATCTATTCGATCCCCCCCCCCCCTCCGGCCCACAATAAGATATTATAATGTCGGACCCGTTAGCACTCGTCTCCGTCCTCGCGAGTGTGATATCGCTTTCTGGAACGGTAATCTCCTCGTCGCTCACGCTGCGGGACACCGTCGACCTGCTGCGCGCGAGATGGGTCGCCAAAGCCAAGGTAGGGCACACATCAAGAGCATACATATATAGGGGGAGGCGGCGATCAACAGGATGCTAACAGCCGGGCTGTCGGGCGGGGGGAGGCTGTATAGCGGCTCGAACCCTACGCCCTCCCCATAGCGCTCTACCCCCTAGTCTCGCCACTGACCGACACTCTCGGCATCATGACGCACAATGTGCTTCTCGCGCCGGACGCCACGGCGCTCGACTACCGCGCGCGGCGCATGGCCTCCTGCAGCATGACGGGCGTTGCGGCCGCGCTTGTCGCGCAGGTGACAAACACGTCCATGCAGCAGGAGTTTGCGCCCGCGCTGCACTGGAGCGTGTCGGCGCTGTGGACGTGCGGGCTTGTGCTCTCGCTGCTGAGCGTGTACTACTCGTTTCTGCTGCACCACTGGCTGGCGGGCTTTGCGGGCGCGGACGGGGTGCGGAGGGCGTTCACGCACAGGGGGCTGGCGACTAGTAGTCGCAGGGTTGAGGGGGTGCCGAGCCTGACGGTTGCGGCGAGGCTGTGGATGCCGGCGTGGCTGCTGAGCGCTTCGATTGGGTGCTATGTGCTGACGCTGGGCTTGTACTGGGCCCTGGCGTGGAGGGCGTGGTGGGGGGTCGGGGCAGAGGCGGCGAGGGGGATGGGGAACCGGAATGTAAGTCGTCGTTGCATGTGTAGCAGACTCGCCTGTGGGAGATTCGGGGAGGGGCTAATTAGTAGGTGTTTATTTGTTATATCCTCACGGTGTTGGGGGCGGTGGCTGTATTTACTGTTCCGAGCGCGGTGGGCAAGATACTGGAGGATGTGGATAGCCTGCATCTATACAGGGAGGAACTCAAGCATGTCTGCAGGGCTGGACCTCCTGGTGTGTGTATGGATGGCTGAGAAGCCCATTCCGCTCTCTCGTCCTACTCTGACCATTGGTTAACAGGTGTGCCAGATCCGGGAGCTTCAGCTGTCAAGTCTGCCGTGGGCGGAAACGAACAGATTGGCGCGGCAGTCGTGGCTTTGTTGGCTGCTGCAGAGGCGCACAGAAGCGCTGGGACTGCGAGCAAGGGCCTGGCCGACGAGCTGGACAGATTGGTCAACGAGCTGGCTCGAGGAAGGAAGAAAGACGTGGGCAAGATGGGGGCGGATGTTTAGGTACCCAGACGTCGGTGTATAAGATCTAGATAGGATGTGCCCGTTATTTGACCAAGCAATCAGACCAGAATTCAATTAAACTCTTACCATCACTGCACGTAGAAAATTTAACATTCAGTTCCACCCCAAGATGGATTTCCGCTGGTATAGCACTATAGCATACAGTTGGACTTGAGCTTGTTGGGGAGGGGAAGATGGAAGAGAGGGCAGGAGAGAAGAAGCGATTTTCTTTTTCTGTTGGCGGCACAATGTCACTCGCACCCAGCCAGTGCCAACCAAGCCCAAAGACAAGGCATAAATCGGCCAAGCACAGCCTATCACTCGACGCCCAACCCCAATTGCAAAAAGATCATTTCCAAGTCATTTTGTAGCCACCGCAACCCACATCTCCATCCTTCCAATACTCCATAATAAACACCACTGATCATGCACCCACCCACAATCCTCCTCTAGCAAATGCCAGCGGCGGCCATACTCGCCCCTCAAAAACACCCCATCCCCCTCAGTACTACCGTACTCCCCTCACCACCCATCCCATCCCTCCTCTCCCCCCCACCAGCATCCCAACACCCACCACATCCTCGCAAACCCTGCATAGCAGCCTCTATACACCCTTCAACATCCTCCTCCCCCCCCCCCCCCGGCATCCCCCTCAGACCCCAAAGCCTCGAGCAAGGTCCTCACACAGTCTCCTCCCCATAATGCGCACCCGCTAGCTAGCTGTCCACGAAGCTCCACCGACACCGCTGATGACGGCGGCGAACATCATCTCGGCCAGTTCCAACCGTCGCAGAGGCCTTCGGGGGCAGCGGTTGTAGGTCTGCGCGCAGACCTGGGCGCCGTGGGTTGTTGCTGGTGGTGGTGGTGGTGACATGGGGGGTTTGGGGGTATGCTAGTACACGTACTAGTGATGCCGGTGATTCTGTATATGATAATCGGAGCTACATGGTTAGTGACTGATGCAGTGATAGTAGGATCGATAATGTGAGGGAAAAGAGGGTATTTGTATCTTATAAACAAGAATCCATGGTTTTCATACGGCGACCAGTTAGACACTTCTGGTTTCAATTAACGATGGCGGTTGAAGGCGGAAACGAAAGTCTGGCCCCGAAATCCATCCGTCCTCAAGAAACTGACTACATGTAGACATAATCCGCTGGACAGGGGCGATAGGTCTTTATATATCATTCGCCTGGTGTTGACAGGGCGTTCGTTACCTGGTGAGGAAGGTCGCCAACATGAGAAAAATAAAAATGAATGACCCCGACGTGATTTGAACACGCAGCCTTTCGATCTGGAGTCGAACGCGCTACCGTTGCGCCACGGAGTCATGGTAAGAAATGTATTAATTCACATATAAAATTAAAAAACAATACTCACGTAAACACTAAACCGCCGCTTACATAACAGCTCTCATGTTTTCAGCCAATCATAAGTCCTTTTCCTTCAGTACTGCAATTCATACTGACTGCAGGGTAACCCATCCCCAAACCACACCCCGCAAAATGTTTAAAACCCCTATATAATTTCTCCCCCCTCCCCCCCCCCCAAATCTTCTCAAAGATGGCTGGCAAAAAGGACAAGAAGAAGGTCGACAAGAAGGCGCGAGTTGCAGAAAAGACTGCCCGAAAGACAGCGCAGAAGGAGAAGAAGAACACAAAGAAGGGCAAGAACAATGCCGACGAAGAGGTCGAGGATGTGGATCTTGACCAGGTTCTTGCTGAATATGCGCTGCAGGTGAATTGACATTTTTATATTATAGGAAAGCCTCTTGGGGAATACCTTGAGCTGATGATAAAATAAATCCGGAGTGGGATTTGTAATTGTTTTTTCTTCTAGCAAGCGCAATTCCTCAAAGTCACCGAAACACCACTGAGCGCGCCGCCGCCGGTGCGCGCAAATGCAACGCTGACGCCCTCGCCGAACGGGAAGGAGCTGTTTCTGTTTGGCGGCGAGACGTTCAACGGGTCGATCGCAAAGTTCTTCAACGAGCTGTACATCTTCAACGCGGACCGCGAGGACTGGCGCCAGATTACGTCCCCAAATTCGCCGCTCCCACGGTCCGGCCACTTTGTAGCGTCGAGCCAGCACGGCGGCGGCAGCGGGTCGCTATGGCTGTTTGGTGGAGAGTTCAGTTCGCCGAAGCAGGGCACTTTCTACCACTACAATGATTTCTGGCGCTTCGACTGTGCTTCACGCGAGTGGAACCGCGTGGAGGGTAAGAGCAGCGGCAAGGCCGGGGGTGGGACACCGCCGGCAAGGAGTGGACACCGTATGGTAGCGTGGAAGAACTTTATTCTGCTGATGGGCGGCTTTCAGGATACGTCAACGACGCCAAAGTACCTAGCGGATCTGTGGGCGTTTGATACGGTCCATTACACGTGGACCCAGATCTCGCTTCCGGCGCATGCACAGCGTCCAGAGGCTAGGTCCAGTTTTTCGTTCCTGCCACATGAGGCGGGCGCGGCCATATATGGTGGATATGCCCGTGTAAAGTCCTCAGCGCTGCCAAGTGCGGGCAAGAAGGGTGCAAGGGTGCAGGGGAGTAGTAAGTCGGTGACCTATAAACCAGTCATGTACCAAGACACATGGCTGCTTAGGATGGACCCGGATCTGTCGAAAGTGCGCTGGGAGCGTCGGAAGAAGCCCGGTAATCCGCCGAATCCACCTCGTGTTGGTGTGACTATGGCGTGGCACAAGGGGAGAGGAATTCTCTTTGGTGGTGTCCGTGACGAGGAGGAGACGGAGGAAGCTCTGGATAGCGAGTTTTTTAACGACTTATTTGCGTGGGGTACGGACCGGAACCGATTCTTCCCTCTTGTGCTTCGGAAGCCCCGGACGCAGCAGAAGAGAGTGGCCGAGAGAGGCGGAGGCAGAAGAGATAGGGCAAAGGAGGACGAAGAAGAGCTTCTACGAAATCTTGCAGCCCTGGAGGCGACTGGGAAGATGGCTTCTGAGACGGCTGAAGTAAAGGTAGAAATGAATGTTGACGAGTCCGAGAAAAAGAAAGCCCCCGTAGAATTATCATTAGAATTGCCCCATAAGAGGTTCAACTGTGCCATGGCCGTATTGGATGATGTGCTCTATGGCTACGGAGGGACATTCGAGAAGGGTGATAGAGAATTCATGATGGATGATATGTTTGCCGTTGACTTAGGTAGACTTGATGGCGTTCGGTAAGAGTTAGCCCAACCATTGGCTTCTGCAGTCATTGCTGATAGCTGGAATTCTAGAACGATATTCTCTCGTAAAGACGAAACTGTCTGGGAGGATAGCGAGGACGAAGACGAGGATGATGACGAGGATGATGACGAAGACGAAGAAGACGAAGATGAGATGGATGTCGACGACGAAGAAGAAGCCGAGAAAATGGTCATCGACGAAGAAGAAATCGAAGCAAGGCGAAAAGAGAAAGCAAAGGTATGATACAACTCAGTCCCAACTGGGTGGCCCTCGCTAACCATATTGATCCATCAACCAATAGCGAAAGAAGGAGAAAGGAAAGGAAACTGTTCCTGAGGCCGTCCCAGAGCCTGTTGCTGAGGATGAGGAGGAAGCACCGATCGACGAAACCCCCGATCCTACCCCTCACCCACGTCCGTTCGAAACACTCCGCGAATTCTTCGCGCGTACCTCGACTGCATGGCAGGATCTTCTCATTGCACAGCTCGAATCATCAGCTGGTGAAAAGTCAAAGACGATCAAGGAGCTTCGAAAAGCCGCGTTCCAGACTGCAGAAGATAAGTGGTGGGCATGCAGAGAGGAGGTTAGAGCGTTGGAGGACGAGCAGGAAGAAGCGGGGATTGGTGAGGTGGTTAATATGGCCGATATGGCTGCTGGATCTGGCGGTGGCGCTGGAGGTGGAGGAGTGGGGAGGAGAAGATGAGGAGAATAAAGATTAGTAACTGCCCTATAAATCTATTCGATATTAGGAAAGAATAATCCTATTTCTTCGAGTTCTCAATCCCTCTCTGCTGTTGAGCTAAAGAGTAAACTTCCAATACCAATACCTAGAGATTATTGTCCACCTAGAATTATTGTCTTGGAACTTCTCGAGACACTCTTGCCCTCAATACTCCATACGTCCTTGTCTCTACATACTTGTACCTATATGTACAGTCGGGGTACAGAAGTTTTGGTAATTTTTGGTTGCCGTTGCAACACAAAATTTGTATGGGAACACTATACCAAGCCAGAAACACCCAAATAATCACTTTAAAATTTGGAGGGCACGCGCCTGAAGGGACATAAAACCCTAGAATTCTCTAAGCTCCATCTTGAGATAATTTCCAACTGTCCTTGAAGGGTTACAATTTTTCTTGATGAGGTTGGGTGGTTGTTTCGGGCAGCCCAACATGGCTACCTGTATTTTCGCTGTAAAATGGGTATATTACCAAAACTTCTGTCCTAGTACTATACTTATGTACCTGGGGGTATTGGGAAGTGATGTAACGTTTGACCTAGTAACGTAGAAAGGTACTTGGAATTTCAATTTTTAACATAACACAACGCTTGAGTAGGATGGATATTTTAGATATACACATGATATATGAGTCTCTAGAATAAAGTCTGCATTTTTTCAGGTCATTGATTTGGGGGTTTTAGCCTTAAAAAGGACAGCTTGTGACAAGAGACAGTAATAAAAAGGAGAAGCAATGGCGATTGATATTAACTCTTACCATAAATATCATCCCTAGCTTCTAAATTACTCTAGATTCTCTCTACATTCTATTAGCTAGTTTGGTTGTTGATGAATATGGACTATTTGATCGTTGCATCACTTTCCAGCACCCCCGGGTACATGCACTACACGTATATACTCGTAATTTTCTAACGTTTCCGAACTGGACTGGGTCTGCATATGGGTATAAATCGTGCTTGGCAACTAGATTTTGGTGGTATGCAGACCCAGTCCAGTTCGGAAACGTTAGAAAATTACGAGTACATAGATACAGCGCTGTATGTACCTGGTAGGCACACTGCATGATCAACGATCTGTCGGCACTCAAAAAGCTTGTAGGATAACGTAGATCTAGAGTACAATATCATCTCAATCTAGCTCCCGGCCCGAAAATAAAGTAGAGTACATCATTCATGTAGGTATTAAACATCACCAAGCCTCATCTAACCTCCAACCTCCATATTCCTCATTTTAGGATCCGACCTGCGTAGTCAAAAGTTGCTCTAGAAGTGATAATTCTAGTCCCCGTCCCACCACTGAGCCCGTACTGCATTAACAAGAATTTATCAACCTCAGTCTAGCACAAAGGTTTCTCGGGGGCTGTAGCGATCATTCACCTTCACGCTCGATGAATCTCAATTCATTTATGCTTGGCGCGGAGTGGCTTCTCGAGGCCCTGTTGGGTTGTGAGGTGATCTGCTGTCATGAGGATATTTATTATTAAAAAATTTGTAGACTTGCGCCAGGCTATTTGTGTCTTTGGAGGCTAGGGGATTAAGTATACCCTAATTAGGGACATTAAATCTGTACCAACGAGATAGTGGGAAAATCCACAACGTCAGAATTTATCACAACTCTCTACTATAAATGGGCATGTCCCTATATAACCCCGCTTTCCTCTCTCTCTCTTTTTCATCCTCAATACCAGTTCCATATATATAGTGCCGAAAAAAAAACCCAAAATCCACAATATCTCAGTATGAGGCTCTTCACCACTTTGGCTCTCCTGGCTAGCAGTACCTTGATTGCAGCCCTGCCTGCGCCGAGCGACATTAATACGGACCCCAAGGCCTTAGTCAAGTCGCCAGTATACCAAGTCTACAAGGACGTCAGCACCCGAAACGACCTAATTGACGGCGAATGTAACGATATTATCGTTATTTGGGCTCGGGGCTCGTCAGAGCCTGGGAATGTTGGGATCACTTTGGGGCCTCCGTTTTTTGATGCAATTGAGGAGGCTGAGCCTGGAAGAACTATTGTTCAGGGTGTCAATTACCCTGCAGAAGTGAGTGGTTCCGCGAGCAGTACTAAAGATCTCTTGGTAATCTACTTATAAACTTAAAGGATTCTGGATATTTTATGGGCGGATCCAGGACTGGTGCTGAATACATGGCTTCTATGGTCTCTCTTGCAGCATCTCAATGCCCAGATTCTTTGGTCGTGCTCGGCGGTTATAGGTAAAATTTATACAGACCCTTCAATACTCAAATTGCGAATAATATACGTGTGTACTAATCCTCGACATTAATACAGTCAAGGAGCACAGGTTACCCACCTGGCTGCAAATCACATTCCCGAAGACCTCTACTCAATGATTGCTGCAATCGTTCTCTTCGGAGATCCATACGATGGCGACGCTTTCCCCGGCT